GCCTCATGTTATTGCTCGTTTTGCTTTACACGAACAAGGTCCTTATTTCTGGTTAGAAGAAGGCCTTGCGTGGCTAATGAATTGCATTCTTGATGACCTTATTGTAACTAGTGCTTCCGGTTAATGAAATTTAATTCTTTTCAATAAAAAAAAATGGAGTTATGTTTAATGTATTATCTATCTATATATATAAAGTAAAAAGTAGAGAATTGTGAAACATTCAAAAACTCCGAATATGCCCTTTGTCAAAGAAAAAATTAAAAGCACACAATTTTAATTAAAAGATTGTGAAATAGTAAAACACCACTTATTTATAAAAAAAGAAAAAGAAAAAGAAAAATATAGTCATGCTGTGCTTGACTCCTAGACAAGAAGAAGAGCTGAAGAACGTGGAGAAAAAATCCACGGGTTCAAAACCCACGAAGCTGGCAGTTTCCACAATTTCAGAACCCATCACCACCATGTTACTTATATTTTCTTCCTCCACTTTACTGGCACCCTTTTCTGCTTCAGAAATTGAAATCGCGAGTAACCGGAGTGTAAAAACTAGTCAGACCCAAAAACCTTCCTTTCTCAGTCCACACCACACCTGCTACCCTGTAACTAAAGGTAAAGCATCGGTTTTTGGGTACTAATGCATGTATATTTCTGATATTGCATGGAAGGTGTGCTGAACTAAAACCGAAGTTCTTTTTCTTTGCAGAAAGCGGAAATTGCTTCGAAAGAGAAAAATACGGCATATGTTGTTAGCGCTGAATGCTGAGGTTCGGAGGACCAAGGCTCGATTGCTTGAGGAGGTTCCCAAGTTGCAGAGGTTGGCTGTAAAGGTCAGCATTTACTGCTTTAATGATTTTTGGTAATGTTCGCATTTGTAATTGTGCATTTCGTTAAATTGTTTGAGAAATTAATAGTAGCCTAGCACATTCTGGTCAAAATTGAAGCAGTGAGTTCCGAATCTTCTGCTTCTTTGAATTTTGTGGGTTTGCAATTGGGTTTCAGTTACTTATGTGGATTTCCCTGTTCTATTTTCTTATAAAATTTTAATTATTTTTCGGGGATTAATCTCTCTCTCTCTCTCTCTCTCTCATTTTTGGTTCATGATAGAATTTTTGCTTCAATTTCTGCTCTTTTAGGCTTATTCAATGAAGAAAGCATTTAGGTTTGATCTGTTTACTATCTCTAATTTTTGGATCCTAATGGAATTTCTTTGATTATATATGCTGTTTCTCCATAGCACCAATGAAGAAAGCATTTAGATTTGATGGGTTTGATGTCAATGGTATGAATCTCTCTCTCTCTTTCTCATTTTGGTTTTGTTTTTGGTTCACTAAATGGTTTTCATCTATTCTGATTTTCTGCGTTTTTAATTATTTTTCAGGGATTAATGGAGATGATGTGGCTCATAGAATCAAAGCACGATATGTAAAATGGAGGGTTTTGTTAAGCATATAAAAAACAGATAATTTCATTGATAAAGCCTGGGCATGTGCACACACACAAACACATGCAAAAAGTGGTAGGGAGGCATAAAGTGCACGAGTCTAGCACCGTCAAGTTGAACCCAACAAGGCACTAAATTCATCCACATCAAATCCTCTTAGTCTTTTAGGTGACCAACCACCAGGTTAAAAAAGAAATGCATTTCTTGGAAGTGAAAAAATACAAACGACACACCCTTTTGCTTTCATCCATATCAGCAGTTGTTGCGGCTCTTAATCCTTCAAAGAGGAGCAATGTATCTACAGCTGAGTTGAAGGGACTAATTGGGATCTTTGGCTCTCTGTCACACACACTTCTACTCCTTGGAAACTTAGACATAGAGGGCGTAGCACAACTTTTTCTCAGTGCAGGACTTTCACCTCCCTTTGAACCCGCCATCTTTCTCAAGAGTCCACCGCCAAACGAACTCCGAATTCCGCCATTCAAGCCTCCATCTCTTCCCACTCGCCCCCTAATTTGGATATTGTTAGCAAACTAAAACAAATTAACAAATTTCCTTTTCTCTCCATCTTTGCTTTCGCTTACCTAAATTGCATTTGTTTTTTTGGCATCCGCATATGGTTTCACTTTAGTTTCTAATTTTTTAAAGCATGAACATGACCTGCTTGAATGTCTAATCATGTTTTCCTTTGTACTTACTTGGATTTCACTGTGCACTTCGTATTAGTTTTTGGTTAAATAAATATTCAGTTTAAGTTTCATGCTTCATGATTTGTAATGTTAGAATTCTTTTGTAGTTACACTGTTAGAATCCTGAAATTTAAGTATTTGCTTCAAGTTGGTTTGTTGGTTGTATTTTGAGGCTATGTAATTATGTGGTTGTTGTACTTCATTCTAATTACTGTTTATATATATTTATTTTAGTATGAATCACAGTTAGACAGTCATCCAATTGCTTCAGGTATGACTTATGAAAATTAAAAAGTTTTTCAAATCTACATGTCTCATTGAAACTTTGGAATTTTATCTCAACAGATTCTATCGTCTCTCACCTCTCTGATGTATAAGCAATCATTGAAGCAAAGAAGCAAAGATAACTTTCAGGTTAATGTTTCTTCATTTTGTTTTATTGACATTTTTTTTTTCTTTTGGGTTCCCTCAAAATTCCTTCCCAAAATTCAACTTGACTCTACTACTATGTGTTTTCTGCTCTCTTTCTTTTTGTTTTTTTTTTCCCTGATTTAATCTCAAGCTTTTATGAAATTTTGATTGTTTCAGGAGAGCTTGGGTACGAAATCCAAATACAAGAAGCGGTCGTTCGCCCAAATTGTCTAACCATTCTTCGCTTTAAAGGTATAATTCATGATTGCCTCTCTATTCCTTATGCAGTGTTTGTGTTCATGTAATATCGATATCATGTCCACTCTTATTTGGGTTAAATTGGGAAATTTGTTATATACCTTGGTGGTTGTTTATACCTTTTGCTTGACTTACAAGCTGTTTTTAGATTGTTTTGTTCGATTAGCCGTGTAACTTAGGACGGTGTTGGTTTTCATGCAAAGTGACTGAAAAAATGGGCTTAGGTTTTCGTATAAAACGAATGACAAATATAAGAAAGCAATGCAAACTAATATAAGAAGGCATTCAAGTTAAAAACTTCACTTAGGAAATGGTTTTATATCATTTTGTAAAATAAGTCTTTTAGGATTTCAATTTATACTGTCTGACAAACTTTGCTTCTTTAGTGCTCTGCCTACTCTTTTTAACTCATTCAATTGGTTTCAATTTGATTGATTTTAAACCTACATTTCTCAACTTTAACCAGTTGTCGTCACCACCCAAATAAAAATGTCCAATTGGTTACATGTTTAATTTTGGGTTTTGTTTTTGTTTTCTTTTGTTTCTGCTGAATTGAAATTACCCCCTTTTTTTGGTATTAATGCATGTATATTTCTGATATTTCATGGAAGGTGTGCTGAACTGAAACCGGAGTTCTTTTTATTTGCAGAAAGCGGAAATTGCTTCGAAAGAGAAAAATAGGGCATATGCTGTTGCGCTGAACGCTGAGATTCGGAGGGCCAAGGCTCGATTGCTTGAGGAGGTTCCCAAGTTGCAGAGGTTGGCTGTAAAGGTCAGCATTTACTGTTTTAATAATTTTTGGTAATGTTCGCATTTGTAATTGTGCATTTCGTTAAATTGTTTGAGAAATTGATAGTAGCCTAGCACATTCTGGTCAAAATTGAAGTAGTGAGTTCCCAATCTTCTGCTTCTTTGAATTTTGTGGGTTTGCAGGGAGGCTAGTATATATATATATATGTTGTATATTGTGGATATTGCAACCCTTGCTAACTTGGTTATGTGGAGCAGTTGGTAGGTGAGAACATCTTTTTGGCCATGACTGATATGAAACCCAAGCCAGGAAGGTGAACGGGGTGAAAGGGTTCTAAGAAGAGGAGGACCGCATGTATACAGATTATGCTATGATTTTTTTCCTTCTATTTTTTTTTTCTCCTGGGATTCCTTTGGTAGAGGAATTAAAAGCAAAATGAGGATGATAGAGATGGAGGGAGTTCAAGTGGAGGAAAACTGCTAAAGGACTTACTGCCCGCGGCTGTGTTTCTTCTCTTTTTAGAGGTTTGTTTCTTTTTATGCTGATATTTGTTTCTTTGATAGTTAAATTGGTGACAAAGAAGACAGCAGCTGGAGGCTTTGATGTACAAGCAGATGTATGCAATTAGACCTTGATGTATTGAGATTGGGTTATAAATAAAGACGTATGCAATTAATTATTGCATCTGTTTCAAATTTCGTTCAAATGGCTATTTTCTTTTACTTTCGTTCCTTAATGTGAATTGTTAACATTGTAGGTTTTCAAGGGGGGTTCAACTTCCCAAAGTGCAGGAGGCTTGCAGAGGAATTGGTGAGCTGCTTTCAACAAAACCGATTACATTAAAATAATTGTTTATTCTATGTTTTCATTATACCACTTAAGTGATATATATGTTTGGATGCTTAGTCTGGCTTTATTTTGTTTTTTGTTTTTTTTTTTCTAGTTCATGGTTTTATTCCTTCTGAATACAGAATCAAATGTTTGGGTTTGGGGTACAAAATCGTGATGTCTAACTAATTCACCAATCCTCTCAGGTACTTCTCTTTCTCATGATTTTGTACATTTAATAGGCTCAATAAAAAAAAACTTTTGATTATCTTTTAATTATACATTTATTTCTCTGCCTTCTCTCCGGTTTTCAGTTCTTTTGGTTTGGTTTTTTATGACGCTTTGGTTTGATGCCTTCTTTTTATCCCTCTGTTTGGTTTTCTTTTATTTCTCAGGGGATCCATTTGCTACATGAATTAAAATAGAGTCGGAGGGAGGAAAAGGGTGGAAAGGTTTTTCTGTGTTTTTTTTAAAATTATACTTCAAGTTTAACACGACGATTTATCACACATGCGCAATTAAAATAGGAAAATGTTGAAACAGACATCTATATAGGAGAGCGAATTGTTGAAAGAACTTATGTGTAAGCTGTAAGCATGCTTTACACTTTATAGCTCTTACGAAAACACTAGAAATAAATATGATACAGAGCTTGATAAATACGTAATCTTTCTTTCTTTTAGA